GCCTCTTTAAGAAGAATCGCTTTATGTATCCCCCAATTGTAAGTCGCTTTGGATAAGAGCGTCTGCTAAATGACTAAATGTAAATGTAAAATCTTGTGCTTTAGATTGATGATCTAGTGGCATCACGCAAATATGTTAGTGGACTGGTTAGATGGAATCAAAGACCTTTTAAACAAACTTTCTGTGACATGCTTTAGCACATATTTAATTGCAAGGAACTGAAAGTGTCACTTCTGATGTGTTTATTGTACATACATACATATAAGATTGTCACTTCCTGTCTAAAGGAGACGCCAGTTACCCTGGATGTGCCATTAGGTGTCATAAGCCGTGTAGAGAAGATGGGCGGAGCCTCCAGTCGAGGAGAGAACTCCTACGGGCTTGAAATCACCTGCAAGGTATCGCTCACACAAAGCCCTAGAAATTCACATCCCATAACCGCTAATGTTAAGGGCAGCAAATGAGGGGAAAAGTGGTGGTGGGATCCTAAAGTGTTGCAAGCCAGATTTTAACTCGACATACTGCATGTGTAGTATCACACAGTGTTTAATAACCATTTGCTCCAAAAATGTTTTTGAATATTTTCTATACATGCTAGTACCTTCATCTGTTTTTAGAGCACTTACAGCTTCTGCTTTGACTTTGAATGTAAACTGCTATAGTATGAAAATGTGACAGGTTAGGTTAGAGCAGAAGTGTGACATTCTCAAATCATTTTGTGTGTGTGTATGTGTGTATGTATCAGGACATGAGGAACCTGCGATTTGCTCTGAAGCAAGAAGGCCACAGTCGAAGAGACATCTTTGAGATTCTTTTCAAATATGCTTTCCCACTGTCTCATGGAATGGTCAGTGTTTGGTGTTTAACGTTATTCTCAAATGCTAATTTTTAGACTCGTTCAGAAATGATTTAAAACTACATTAATCACTTTTGTGCATTTTATGCAGTGCGATTAAGTGTCAACGTTTCAGCATTTCACAACCGGCTTTCATCTTTAGCAGAATGCATGATATACTGGTTTAACTTACTCTTTAACTTACTCTTTCTTTGACTTTCACAGCAACTCTTTGCCTTTCTGAGTCAGGAGAAGTATGAGGAGAATGGCTGGAACGTTTATGAGGCCATGGGAGAGTACAGGAGGCAGGTGAGGACCAGATGCCAGGACTTGTGCTAGTCTAGAAACAGTCGTGCTGCCCTTTTTCAAACTGCTCACACTTGCCATTCACTTGCTAATATAATATAATAAAATATAATATTGTTAATGTAGTTACTGCACAGTGCACTTTCATTAATGATTATGTGTTGTTTTTCTGTTCTGATTGTCAGGGTCTACCCAGTAGTGAGTGGAGGGTCACTTTCATCAATAAGAACTACGAGCTGTGTGACACCTATCCCACAATTCTTGTTGTTCCATACAAGGCCACAGAGGAAGATCTTAGAAGAGTTGCTACCTTCCGTTCCCGCTGCCGCATCCCGGTGAGCTCTTTCACAGATGACCAGTATGAAAGGCCAGAATAATGGTGTGATTTTTGTTGGAAGGTCATATTCAAGCTTCTGCTGCATAATGTAGGCTGTTTAGTGGAAAGTTTTGGAGAATGCCAATTGACATTTTTGCACATAAATAAGAAAGCAATGCTTTTCAGATTTATTTAATTGTATATTTACTTTCATATATTTACTGTGATATGTGATATTTATTATTATTATTGTTATATGTGGTTGGATATTTATATATCTCTGTATGATGATAATGCCTGAGATGCACTTGTTACGACTAATAACTAAGAAATACCCAATATTAAAATTCTATGCTATTTTTAGTATTTTGTCTAAATAAATGAAAAAATGAAATCCTAAAAACTACATTCAGTCATTTTAAATTCTACAAGTGGATTTACGCATCACAATATTATAATGCACAGTATGAAAAATGGATGTTCATTTTGAGATCTGCTAAAGATAAAAAGTGATTAACAGTGTTATTACAGTAATAATGTTTTTAAAGATTAACTTTAAGTGAGCATTACATGAAAATGTAATATAAATGTAAAAATAGGGAAATTAGCATGAACAATTAAATATAGACAGTGTATAACCAATTTTGAGTTTATATCTAATATACTAATAAAAAAGAAAATTCCTAATTTTGGCAACCAGTATGGTACCGATACATATTGTGAAACCCCTAGATGATGATAAAGCTTTCTTTTGATCTCCTCATCTTCAATTCAACAATGTGTTTTTTAAATGTCTGTTGATGACCTTACCTTCCGTAATGATGATGTGTTTCCTTCCCCTCTCAGGTGTTGTCGTGGTTCCATAAAGAGAACCATGCTGTGATCATGCGGTGTAGCCAGCCGTTGGTGGGAATGAGCGGCAAGCGCAACAAAGATGATGAACGTTACTTGGACCTAATCCGTGAGGCCAATGGTACTACCAAACTCACCATTTATGATGCCAGGCCTAATGTCAATGCTGTGGCAAACAAGGTAAGATCGCAGAGGGTTACTAATAAGTGGGGCTTAGTGTCAGGTCTGAGAGATTCAAATTCATCTCCAAGGAATTCTTGAGAGTTTTTGAATATGAAAACCCTCTTTGTTTACCTCATATCTAACTTATGGCCGTATCCACTGAAGGTATGGGATGGTTACTGTTTTCCAGTCGGTCTTGGACTCTTGGTTTGTATTAGACAAACAAAACTGTTTGCTTTTGCATGAGTGTGTTGCCAAACTAATTAAAAGCAAAACCAACCACAATGTGGACCCAGACGTGGACCACAGTGGTGCTTGAAAGCTATGCCACACTGAACACCACTAACAGAGCATTTTGAAATGGCATTATTGATCCAATATTTTTTCTTGGAAAATGTGTTTTGGTACTTGAAGTGTGAAAGTAAGTGTGCAGAATTTCTCTACATGATCACATATCTTAACCTGTACACTTCTCACCCCTTACCCTGCAGGCCACAGGAGGGGGTTACGAGGGTGACGATGCATATCAGAATGCTGAGCTGGTCTTTCTAGACATCCATAATATCCATGTCATGAGGGAGTCACTGAAGAAGTTAAAGGACATTGTCTACCCCAATGTGGAGGAGTCTCATTGGCTCTCCAGCCTGGAGTCCACCCACTGGCTAGAGCATATTAAGGTTTGTTTTTTATTCCATGCATACCAATATATATTATAAACGGGTGCACATAAGTGGTACGCAGGTGCGCATGCGCGACCAAAATAAAAATTGCGCTGTGTAAATTAGTTTAGACCGCTCATTTGCGTACCGACATGTTTGACAGCTGTTAATGCACAATTATAATTTTAGATTGACAAACTGTAATACTGTATAAGATTTCTATTCGATATACTTGCCGGCAACCCGCCAAAATAAAAGCTTGCTGATTTTAAGTTTAAAACTGATGAAAATTCATATAAAAAAATTGTATATATTAGCATTTTATTTTTAAATTTACTATAAAATAATTGTATTTTTATTTAATACTCCCTTTTTTATTTTAAAATATAATATTATTATTACATCTTATTATTTTGTTTATTTTATTTAAAAAAATAAATAAAGTGCAATAATATTATTATCACTATCATTATTTTTTAAATATTTTTATAAATTCTTACTTTTAGTACTTCTTACTAAAAACTCTTACGTTCACACTTCATGTACCATTTAATGGGTCACACTCTGTGCAGTGTGAAGACCAAATCAAAACTCCAGGTGCTCTTTTGAGAACCAGGCCGAAAAACTTATGTGCCCCCCTGATTATAAAACTCAACATGCTCTACTGTAACTACCTTCTATCCTGCATTAGCTGGTGCTATCAGGGGCCATCCAGGTGGCTGATAAGGTGTCTTCTGGGAGCTCTGTGGTGGTGCACTGCAGTGACGGCTGGGACCGCACAGCTCAGCTCACTTCTCTGGCCATGCTGATGCTGGATTCATTCTACAGGACTCTCAGGGGCTTCCAGGTGCTGCTGGAGAAGGAATGGATCAGCTTTGGACACAAGTTTGCCTCAGTGAGTCCCAGCTGGGTTTACAAAGTCTTGGATCTGGAAAACCACACATTTAGTGATGGAGTTTGAGTTCTGTCAGCCATGTTATCAGGGTGATTGCTTTAATAGAGTTGATAGAGCATTAATAATAAGGGTAAACCACATCTGGGTGTTTTAGCTTTTGTTTTTTTTGTAAACAAAAAAAAACAAATTATTATCAGTTGGTATTTACTTCATGCTTTATGTGTGTAGAGAATCGGCCATGGAGACAAAAACCATGCAGATCAGGACAGGTCACCTATCTTTTTGCAGTTTATTGACTGCGTGTGGCAAATGACTAAACAGGTAGGAATCTAATTGTCTAACCATGTGAACTGTCATACTGCTCCAAACCTGTATTGCTGTTTTGTTCTTTCTGTTCTGTGGAACACAAGAGGAGGTATTTTGCAAAATGTCTGAGCTGCTGTTCAGTCATTGTGGATGCTGATTTATGCTGTGAATCTAACAGCATCCGCCTTCACGTGACATTCCCAATCATGTGGATTCCGTTAAAATTGACTGGATTTAGCCCCTGTGAAAATTTGCAGAACAACGGTAAATGTGACCGCATTGTAACACGAGACAGCATACAGCATTCAGCATCATTGATATCAAACCTGGCACAAAACAACTTAACACGGTATATTTAAATATATGCAACCTTGAGATCCGAGTGGCAAACCACTTAAAGGGTTAGTTCACCCAAAAATTAAAATTAGCCCATAAACAAAAGAAGTGAAATAAAGCACATCCATCCCTCCATATTCAAAACGTAATAATCACTTTAATCTAGCTTGCGCTCACTGTTGTAAACGGAAGCAGCTCCGGGCGGATGGCGTATGAATTCGGCTTTGCGCATGCGCCGCTCAGAAGTGACGAACGCGGAAGCGCAGGGGAGAGATCGAAACAAAACAACGGTCACTTATTAGAAGTACAAAACGAGGATTTGTAAAGAAGAATGTCAGAGGATTTCGATATAAGCCAAGAGGAGACTGGTTTTCCTTTGCTAAAGTAAGAAAACTTTGCTTCCTTTGCTCCTGTTAACAAATGTTGGTTTTCACGAGACTCACCAGCGCATGCGCAACGCTGAACTCATATGTCATCAGCCCGGAGCTGCTTCCGTGTACAACTGTTGCCGCAAGCTAGATTAAAGTGATTATTACGTTTTGAATATGGATATTTTTCTTACAAAACCTCATCAATTTGCTACAGAGGCCTTTGTTCACCCACCGGAGCCGTGTGAGACGGGGTTTTTTAATGGATGAGCGCTTTTTATTTCACTTCTTTTGGACCGATGCATGCAACACCCGCTGAGTGGCATTAAACAGCTTGAAAGATCAAAGACAATTTTTAAT